TTCAGAGCGAAAGGGACGCCCTCTGCTCTCGTCAGGAGCGGGTTGCTCAGGATATGGCTATGTGGCAGGCTAAGTTGCAGGGTCTCCCGTCGAGTGAGCCAGGTCCCGAGGGTTTCACGCCCCCAGATCTCTCTGCCGTGGCGGACGTATTCGCAGCTTCCCAGGCAGTGCAGAGAGACAAGAAGCTTGCTCAGGCGTTGCGTGACCTCCAGGGTATCGTTATGTCTGGCTATGCTCCTGTTGGTAGTGCCAGAGAGCCTCGGTCTCAGTCTGAGGAACTCAGGATGTCTGTCGACCAGCAAGGTTCCCCAACACGCGTTGCCAGGGCTCCTCCCCGTACCTCTTCCTCACTGCCGCCTGCGCCGAAACGTCCTGCTCATGCCCCTGATGTTGCAGTTGATCAGTCGGGGCAGTCAGGAAGGTTTTCGCCGTCGGCTGCCGCCACCGCTGGCCCCGCCGACACCCCAGCTGTGGTGGAGGGCTCCAATCCCATGGGCCCGTCTGACCACATCGCAGACCCCGCCCGACAAGTCAGCCTTCGGACAGAAGTCGCGTCGGGACTGGGTCATCGTTTCTGTGAATGTTACCTCCTGGTCTAATGCCGATATTTTCCTGGAGGCTTATTCTGATCGGTTTGATGCTGTTGGTTTTCAAGAACTCTGTCGTACAGAAGAGGCTATTGAGTTCGCAGTCAACCGTGCTCACAAGCATGGGTTCCATGCGCACCTCCACCCCTCAGCTAGTACTCAGACAGGCGGATTGAGTTCAGGAGTGGGCCTTGTCTCGCATTATGCCAGGTCCTTCTCTGAACTTGCAGTGGATCCGATTGTTGTCATGCCCCCTCCAGAGAGATTTATCTTGAAGCTATGGCATGGGGTCGTGGATTCAGGTATCCCTTGGGCCAATGTACATTTGCATACGGGGGAAGGCGCCGAGGATCGAAATGCCCAGCTACTGATGCAGGTGGCAGCAGTCATGAAGACCATATCCACCCCCTTTGTCATATCAGGGGACTGGAACATGTCCCCCAAGGACTTGCAGAATACGGACTTCTTAACGCTCATAGGTGGGGTCATTGCCGCGCCAGATCGCCATACCTATGAGTCTGCGGGAGCCCAGTCGTTGATTGACTACTTTGTGGTTCACCCCTTGCTCTCGGCAGCAGTTAAGTGTGAGGTCTGGGAGACCCCCCTGATCCCCAAGCACCAGCCTGTCGCTCTTACCCTTCGTGGAAATCTCCACTCAGATTTGGTATCCGTTTTTCGGCGGCCGCCACATATCCCTATTATCCGTCCAGTGGGGTGTTCAAACTGCCCGCCTTCCTGGGATGCCTTTCCTGATCCTGATGCAGTCAACTCTGTGGAAGATTTGGAACGCCTTACCTCTTCTTGGCTGAAGACGTCTGCCCAGGAGTTGCTTGCCCTTTTCCAGTTGCCAGATCCGCAGGATTACACCAAGTGGGGTGAGCCTTCCTCGACCATCCAGATCTCGGTTTCCAGACTGTTTCCTGGTGGTGTGCTTTCGTCATACGGAGGAAGGCTCTGGAGGTATCTCTCTAACCGTCTTGGTACTCTTCTATATCTTGCTGACAAGCAGCTGCGGCCCGCATACCGGAGAGCATGCCA